TTGGCATGCGATGACTCAAAATTGCAGACATACACTTCCGTGCTATTACACCTACGTTTATCAGTGAGCTTTTATAAGTGAAACAGATTATTTAAAGGGGACCTATCATGCAAAATGCACTTTTGTATGTCTTTTATACATAAATATGTGTCTCCGGTGTGTCTCACAAAGTGTCAGAAAACAAAACCCTCTCTCTTTTCCTCTGAACCCAAATCTCTAAAAACGGGGGAACAATCTGATCCAGATTTGCGTCCGATATGACGTAATATCGGAAATGTGGACCCACGGCCCCATCAGAAACGTTGCTATCAGAAACAATGCCTGACTGTTTTGGACGTAATATGGTCTTTGTTTACATTAGCAAGCATCGCTAACACTCAGAGCTAACCTGTACTGGAGAGAGCATGTGTGAAGAAGCAGGAAATAAAAAAAGGAACTCACCTTGTGGTAAACCCGCAAGAAAAGAAGCATTTGAGCTCCATACTGTTTCAGAAATAATCCTTGATGTGGTTTGGAACATGATGGCGTTTAATCACGGCAGCGTTTCTCTAACAGGGCTGGAATAGAGGGATATGAGGGATGTCTAAAATGCATGATCTGTTTGGTATTTTGAGCAAAACACATCATAGACATGTTTTTATATATGTTTATATATCTGAGACCCATAATATATGCCTAAAAATAGCATAATAGGAGACCTTTAAATGTACTGCAATGCTTTGAATTCAGCTAGGAATACTAATTCTGCTTATAACAGCGGTTGCAAATAGTTTACATTAAATATTTCCCCACAATCAGTGATTGCTGATGTTTTAATCTGTATTCATATTTGACTGGGGGCGTAATTTAGCATGCAATCACCATGCAGTCAGTCTTCATTACATTGGACTCAACTGCTCCACCAAGCACACAATTGCTCGTCATTGATTTTGCAGATTATTGCAGTCCATGTAATTCCTCATACAGTGTGAAGATCTCTCCTTTGCAAAGTAAGATGTTAACAAATTATGACCCTGAAAATGTGAATCCCTTGAGGATAAATGTGCTCGTTTCAGCCCCACAATGAGCAGGAAATAGCTGATATTGATTCTGGACGTTACATCCACACAGAGGAATCTCTATGCCCACTCAGTGCAATCCAACATGGTCGCATTTGATTTTTCATTCCTGCTTCAAGGGGAATGGGAAATGATTCATGGGAAGAACAAGCACTACCCCTTGTGGCTCAGTTGGCCCAGTGCAGCATGGGTAAATGGCACCTCCAGCTGCTTCTGGGCCCCTCCTGATAAGTTAACCTTGTGATAACATGCTAATGCCTGATTAATGTTGCCGTAATTAGACACAGCTTTTCACACTCAGTTAAGAGGACATCCTCCAGCAATTAGCCCGAGCCGGGGAGAGATAATTTCAGAGAGCACAGCGGAATCACGTTCCTCGGCTCGCCCGCGTTCCCACTTGGCAACATTAAGGTTTATTTTCTCATTATTCCATTTAATTACTCGTTTGATGTTTTATACAGCTGCCACAAGTAATCTTTGATCCAATTAGTAAATGCTGATTGACAGCGTGGGTGTCGGATTCAATAGGCTGCATTTAATTTGCCGTTGTGACCTTATCAGGAGGATCTTCTGAGGATTCTGTGTCGAACATCGAAAGCCAACGAAAAAATATAATAATTTCCCTTAAGAGTATATTCTGCATGGATGGCACACCTTAGTGTGTGTGGTGTGTGTGTGTGTGTGTGTGTGTGTGGTGTGTGTGTGTGGTGTGTGTGTGGTGTGTGTGTGTGTGTGTGTGTGTGTGTGTGTGTGTGTGTGTGGTGTGTGTGTGTGTGTGTGTGTGTGTGTGTGTGTGTGTGTGTGTGTGTGTGTGTGTGTGTGTGTGTGTGTGTGTGTGTGTGTGTGTGTGTGTGTGTGTGTGTGTGTGTGTGTGTGTGTGTGTGTACACGAGTGTGTAAGAAGGCAGCATGTGTTTGTGTTCTCCTCACCAGACATCTAACAATGAGGAATGGACGCATTAGTGAGGAGAGGCCCCTGTATCCACCAGCCTCCACACTGCCCATTAATAATGCACTGCCAGGGAATAGATGGGGCTTTGCGGGGATTAGTCCTCCATTAAGGACTCGCCTGCTATTTCTATTAGGGAGACATGTTGGTCTTTCTTAAGCAAGAAAGATCAGCCCACTTGCAGTTGGACTATAAAATCCTATATCAAAATTGTCAGTGGTCCCACAAAGCAAGCTGTGTAAAACGTTTGCAATGTGAAACATGGGATCCACTATATATATGGACGTGGGGTATAACTTATATGAAACAGAAAGAGGTTTTTTGTTATTGCTACAACTCAGATCCCACTGTGGCAAACATTGAAATCGGCATTAACACGTTTCACAAATTACTTGAAGGCAGTTTAAAACAGCATTTACAGTATGGTGAATTCATTAGAAAACAGTGTCCTCTTTACACATCCATGGTTATCTCAATCTCAATCTTTATTTATTTATATAGCACACTTACTATTTATAGTGTAAATTGGAATGATCCACATCTGTGCTCCCGGGTGTATCTGTGTGTTTTCTTCCTGCCTGTGTGCATGACATAAGCTGCTGCTCATAACCAATTGATTGATTGACATTTAAAACAACCTCAGTTGTCCAAAGTGCTGTACAGGCAATACATACAATATAAAATAACACAATGGGAGTACAATAATAAAACAATAATTAAAAACATGATAAAAAAACACAATAACTAGAAACATATAAAAACATACAAATGTAAAAATGTAATGTTCAACTAGTATTAAAAGCCAGTGCAAAGAGGTGTTATGGAGCGACGCTCTCTTTTAGCTCCATTTTCTGTTTCCATTACTATCAATAGGAAGTATTTGGCTCTTTAGCTGCTAAATGTTATCACTTCAAATAGTTGTATGTCTATAAATGAATGAGCATGAGGTAAAACAGGATTTGTGATACCATTAAGGAAACAAAAATACAATTTTATATTACAGACAAATCATGCATTGCATATTAAGATATATAAACATGCTTGAATCTTTCAGATAGCATTGTATTTTATTAGCAATGTATATATGTTTTATGTATATCCAAATCTTACTATTAACTTCATCAGTCACACAAATGTAGTTTTCTGTGAAGTGAAATGTGACTTTGTGTGCTGTTACATCCTGAGTGTCTGCATGATTTGAGTAATGTGTCGACAACAGTCACCTAATGCAAATACATTGTCTGGATATGAACAGATAAAGAGCTACAAACAGACACAAATGATGTTCAAATTGAAGCACTCAAAGCTGAATGAACCGTATGGGTTAAAAGCCTTCAGTCTGTCTCAATGTCCGCTACTAAAAGTAAAAAAAACTTTAGATGAACCCTCACCCATTCATAACCATCAACACCAACCACCTCAATGCACACACACCCAGCTTCCTGTTGCCTCACTCTGACATCCTCCCAAATGTCCTCCTTTCTTAAACATCCCCATCCACTTACAGGAGCTGATATGTGTAATCCTAAATATTATTCATAATTGTGGGTTTATAGAATTGATGCGCAATCTTGTCTTGTGTGATGTACATTTATTTAAACTTGAAGTACATGTACTTTTCTTACAGTCTTTTCTTTTCAGGCTTCTTTGTACTTCCACTCAACTACATTTCAGAGTTAAATATTATTTTTTTTAACTTTTTACTGAGATGTAGTTAGGGTAATGAGGTGGCATTTTTCACTATTTTCTTATTTTTTCAAGCAAGAAAATAACCATATTAATCCCTAATAAAAGCAATCATTAGTTGTCCTTTTTAAAAAGTAGTTGAAAAATTAAGCTCCACCGCAACCAAACACAACAGTAAAATATTGCATTAGTTTATCAGTAGAAATTATATATATATCTCATAATAAATGTAATAGTTTTACAGTCACAGGGCCATATTTCTTAATTGAGTATTATTTTATACTATTGTGTTTTTTCTGAATCTATTTGTATACGAGTACTTAATAAAATGTGTTTTATTCCAGTGCATTGTAGGTTTGAATTTACAGTGTAGTAATAGTAGCCTATACTTTTACATTAGTAAAGAGTCTGAATACTTTCTCTATAGGTACAACAGTAGAAATGTGTGCAAGCATTCATGTTAAAACTATATGTACCCCACAGTATGCATACATGCCAGCCTCACACACACACACACACACACACACACACACACACACACACACACACACACACACACACACACACACACACACACACACACACACACACACACACACACACACACACACACACACACACACACACACACACACACACACACACACATAGAGGTGGAAGAAGTATTCAGATGGTGTAATAAAGTAAAGACAGAAGTACCACAGTGTAGGAATACTCTGTTAAAAGTAAAAGTCCTGCATTCGAAAGGTTACTCAGATAAATGTACATTTGTATTGGCATCTAAATATAGGCCTACTTAAAGTACCTAAAGTAAAAGTACTCATTATCCCATTGCAGAATCATATATATGATACGTCTTGATTATAATTATTTTATGTATTAATGTGTAAAGGTGGAACTAGTCTTAATTAGTGTATTTACTACTGGGTAGCATGTAGGCCTACATTTAATCCATGTGTAACTCAAGTTGTATTTAAGTGTTGTACAAATCTGTTTTATCATTAATCCAATGGATTAAATCCATACCTGCAAAGTAACTAAATGTACAATATTTACCTCAGAATTGTATTGGTGTAAAAGTACAAAGTAAAAAATACTCAAGTACAAGTACCTCAGAATTGCACTTACTTAGTTACTTTACATCACTGCACAGATACACACACACATACACGCACACACACGCACACACACGCACACACACACACACACACACACACACACACACACACACACACACACACACAGAGAGACAGAGACAGAGACAGAGACAGACAGACCCCTCCTCCATCAGCTGATGACGGCTTCTAGTGTCAACGCTGAGTCTGGCAGGAAGTGCATCTTGTGGCTGGCTGGAATATGAGGAGAAGAGGCAGTTTTATACTGAGCTGCAGGGACAAAACACTCACCTTCTGACGGTAAAGTGACACTTTGAGACATAAAACAAGTGTACTGTTTCCGGGATGTCTAGTTATTACAAAGCGCTCCCGATTTCTCCCCTGGAAACACACTGCGGTTTGATGCTAATGTTAGCTTTCGCGTTAGCTTCGTGTTATTATTGGCAGTTGTGTGTGTTCAGTGTCGGACAGCATGTTGATTATGAAACGCTCGATAATGATAGTTAACACTTTAAATAACTTTACTTTTTCCCAGCTTGTCACACTACACATTCAGCTAAATAGCTAGTAAGGAAGAGTAATGCTAGGTGTAGTTAGCAGAGTTTGCTTTGACAAAACTTCATGGGAAAGTGTTTCATTTTAACAAAGCCATGTTATTTACCGAGGTGTGCTGCTCCTCTAATGTTGCCAATACTTGTTATTGTTTGAACAATGTCTACTTGTGAATTCGGCATACATAAAAGATGATATATCAGGGGTGTAAAGGAACAAAGTACATCTACTGTACTTAAGGAACATTTTAGGTACTTTCCATTTGCTACTTCATGCCTCTATGACACATGATTACATTTAAAAGGGTAATTATGTAATTTATCTTCACTATATGTATTTAATAGCTTTAGTAACTTATTTTAGATTATTATTCTGCAATAAAAACATGTGAGAAACTTTTAAATAATGTATTTATGAACATTTAACAATTCAAATAGCTGTCAGAGGTTCCTACAGTTTTACACATTTTCCAATTTTAAACAAAAAGTTGTAAAAATAATGTTTGTTTGAGAAATGTGTTTGTCTACAACAGTAAAATGCTGCTTTATTCAACAACAAACAAACAAAAAAATCTAAATATGTCATTTATAGAATAATATATTCACTTCAATGATGATACTTCAAGTACATTTATCTGATAGTACTTTTACTTAGTAGGATTGTGAATGTAGTACTTGTACTTATAATGGAGTATTTTGACATTAACGTATTAGTACTTTCACTTAAAGATCTGAATACTTCTGCCACCACTGTGGATGAACAACTAAATAGTTCCTTACGTTGACATTTGATTAAAATAATTGTAAACTTTCTTTGATCAATGCCGAAATAACGAATGAATGCCTGAACCTATTTAACAAAATTATTTATATCATGTTTTAAAAGGGTATGTTTTCCCAGAACCTGAGTGTCTTTAAATGCCACATTTCTTTACCTTATTTGGCATCTGACATCAGCGCGTGGGACTCAACCATGAGTCCCACTGATGGTTGATTTCACTTTCTCTTTGCTACCATGTGTCGAGAAGTCTATTTTAAAAAAAAACTCATAAAATTAGACCTCTCTTAACTTGTTTTCTCATCATTTCTCGTAGATAAAACCTTGAAAGATGGACAGTTATCGGCGAGGAAAACCCTGGGGAAAGCTAGTCAAAGTGAACTCCAGTGAAACTGTCCTGCTGTTCAACAGGGAATGCACAGTTGGCAGAAAAAAGGGTAAGTACGTTTCTTTTAACGCTGTCTTAAACTTTGTTAACATGTTTTACGCTTGCTTTTAAATATGGTGATGCCTATTAACAAAAGGCAGACCAGTCTGTAGCACAGACATCGCTGTCAGTGTCTGGAGCCTTTAAAACCCCCCCTTGAAAACACAAAGCCTTCTTTAGTGCCCCAAACTTAGACAGCCCCTTGTGATGATAACAAAAGGTGTCTATTCAGAACATGTGTGTAGAATATTAAGTAGATTTTTCTTGTATGGGGTTTTGCTTGAGAAAAGGTTAGGCCTATATTTCCCCCTGTGTCTGCTTTGTTGTGCAGCTTTGGGATCTACTTTCTTGCAACGCAAAGCTAGACTAGTCTTAATTGGTTAGCTCTTGTCTTGGAAATAAAAGGCTTTTCAAAATTGCATGTCCATGCTACAGGTGAATCTGGTAGTACCATGTTGACTTTTCAAGGTGTTTATTTAAGGATATAGAACTTTATTTCCAGAGCAGCCAGAATTGGATGAGAAAATAATTGAAAATGAAAACATAGATAGATAGATAGATAGATGGATGGGTAGATAGATGGATAGATGGATGGATGGATGGATGGATGGATCAGAATACCTTTATTAGTCCCACAGAGGGGACATTTGCAATGGATGGATGGATGGATGGATAGATAGATAGATAGAGAGGTACTTTATTGATCCCAATTTGGTAAATCTTTGCGTTGCAGCAGCATAAAAGACAAGGCAATGTACATAAGAGAAATTAAGACACTACAAATAAACAATCCAAAATATTTCTGAAATAGTAATAAAATAGCATTAAAAAGTTCAAAGATATGTGTTAGAATACTCAGAAGCATATCACCTATAATACTCGAACAAAAGGGGCACTTAAAAGATGGAGCATGAGTTGAGTAGGTCCTCTCCTAGATGGCAAAATGAATCTGTTTTCATATGTTTACTGGGTGTTTTAATCGTGCTGTTTACTTTATTTTGTTGCCAGGATGTTATCTGTCCTTCCCGGCCAACAAGCTGGTCTCAGGGGAGCACTGCAAGATTGTGCAAGATGAAAGATCAGGGCAGGCGTGGCTCGAAGACATGAGGTACGGGAATTTAAGAAGAAACAAACAATATGTTGAACCAAAATTCAACAGAATTGGGAAGTAACTAAGTACATTTACTCAAGTACTGTACTTAAAGGTGGGGTAGGTACGTTTGAGAAACCGGCTCGAGATCGCTAGAATTTGAAAATACACAACCGGAGAAAATCTGCCACTTCCTTACAGAGCCCCTCCTCCAACACACACGAACGCGCACATGACCAATGAGGGCACGAGATAAGTTTGTGCACAGATGGAAGGCTGACAGGCAGGTAGGCCATCCAGTTATTTTAGCCGGGCCGGCTCAGATGATTGGTCGTGCTTTTTACAGTACTACGGCTTCCACAGATGACATGTTTTTATGGATTTTTTGTCAAAGCACTTAAGATATTCATTGCTATCGGGATGTTAAGAGCATTCCATGGAATATAACAAAAAGTGTATCTCGAGCCGGTTTCTCAAACTTACCTACCCCACCTTTAAGAGTATTTACTTTGAGTATTTATATTTTATTCTACTTTGTTCTTCTACTCCTCTACAGTTCAGAGGTAAATGGTGTACTTTTACTCCACTACATGTATTTAATACCTTTAGTTACTTCACAGATCTGGATGAATGATGTGAAATATAATCAAGTGTTAAATCAGACTTTAGTTCCACCTGGAGTAAATTCACAAGCTACCCTGCAGTATACAAAGTCATTCAAACTAGCTGCACCTTTACCAGCTTTGAGAACACTTTAATGATCAATCATTATAAAACATATCATATATATTATTCTGAAATGGACCAATCTGCACAATGACTACTTTTACTTTCGCTACTTTAACTATATTTTGATGATAATACTTTTCTACTTTCACTTGAGGAACATTTTGAATACAGGACTTTTACTGTAACAGAGTATTCCTACACTCTGGTACTTTTACTCAAGTACAAGATCTGAGAACTTCTCCCAGCTCTGTTAAAAGCAAGACAATGCTAGTATATGTTGAGCTTTCCAAGTTATGTATGAATTGATAGTGTTTCCGTCCCTTTTGACTCATCCAAAGCCTGTTTGTCTGCAGCACTAACGGCACGGTGATCAACATGTCCAAACTGATCAAGAAGCAAACTCACATGCTGCAGAACGGCGATGTCATCTACTTTGTGTACAGGAAAAGTGAGCCAGAACAAAGTAAGTAGTTCACTTTGTTAGCCCTGAAAATAATGTGTTAGATGAATGGATGTGAATGGATGACATCTCAGTTTCATAGTGTGTTTTTTACTTTTAACCGGGCTCCACTCTGTTTTTGTCAATCCAACCATATTGTGCTCACACTCTACCTATATCTCCTATATTTATAGTTTCATAAGTAGTAATAGTTTTTTTTATTATATAGCATAAAGCTTTGGATATTTGTATGGTGTGTACTCTAAAGATATATAACTTTCAATTGTTAAAATTTAAATATTTACTGTGTATTCTTTAGGTGCAATGCCCTTTTTACATGCTGCTGTAACAATAAAACATATCTAATCTAACTTGATCCTGTCTCCCTGTAGACATTGCCTATGTTTACCACTCAATCAAAACGGAAGAAGCTATTTCCCATTATAGCTACGGTAAGAAACCAAGTTATTCCCTCCGTTTTTGTCTTTTATTCCACCTTATATATAGTAGTGCCTCACTGCTAACCCCCACCCTGTTTCTAAACTCCAGACGTGGAGCGGTCGGCCCTCAGTCCTGCTCCGCTCCCCCCCTCAGAGATGCCTCTCTCTGTGGAGCCTGTGATGCTCACTAAGGCTCCTCGTGATCCAGCTCAGGAGGAACCGCAGCCCTCCACCTCCTCTTCACACTTCTGCATCGGGGGTCCCACCACCTCTGTTCCTGCGGCAACTACAGCCTGTCCTGCTCCTGGTAGGTTCTCCACTAAAACACCATTAAAGGTCACCTATTATGCAAAATCCACTTGTTCATGTCTCTTCTACATCAACATGTGTCCCCTCTTCTTCATGTCTCTTCTACATCAACATGTGTCCCCTCTTCTTCATGTCTCTTCTACATCAACATGTGTCCCCTCTTCTTCATGTCTCTTCTACATCAACATGTGTCCCCTCTTCTTCATGTCTCTTCTACATCAACATGTGTCCCCTCTGTGTAAAGAGATTCTGAAAGTTTCAGGAACAAAGATTCTCTCTCTTTTTGTCCTGATCCATTTATATAAAAACCTGTCTGAAAATGAGCTGATCAGATTTTGGCCACTTTATGATGTCATAACGATGTGTTGTCTTGTGTAACCATTAGCCAATCACCAACCAAGGTAACCCCCCCCCCCCTTATCACCTGAATCTCCTCCTAGAGCTCCATTGTGTTCTTTTTAACCAAATATCTCTCAGAGGGGCGTGGGGAGGGGCTCCTTATTTTCATCTAAAGTAACAGACAGAGAATCAGCACTTTGGAAACAGGGCTGAAACAGAGGGGATTATGGGATGCTGCAATGATCTGTTTGGTGTTTCAGCCAATCAGAGACAGGCTCTGTATATATCTGAGACCTATAATGTATTGATGAAAAACAGTATAATAGGAGACAGGGGACATTCATCTTTCTCCTCAGGTTAATACGGTTAGCTCTGTTAGCACTGTTGCCATTGTTCTTGCTGTTAGCCACGTTAGCTGCTAGCTGCTGGCTCTGTATGGAGGTCTTTTTATCAACAGGTGAAAGAAGATTTTGACGGGATAATATTTCAAAATGTCTTTTAAAGAAAATTGCAATCTGTCAAACATGTGCGAAAATAACTCTCCTCTGAAGGATACAAAAGTATTGATGTTACTGATCCACACTAAAGTCTATACTCAGTTCAAATCAGATTTCGTTGGACAAACAGCTGGTGATTATAACACTATCTTTGACTATGCATTGCCTTTTTTCTCTAGTTCCCACCTGACTCAGTTTAAATCCCTCCACTTTCCTCACCTTTAAAAACTCAGGTCTTGTTTTAAATAATTTACACGACATTGGAACAAGCTTCTCTGACTAATTACCCGCAAAATGACTGTGAGTAATTGAACTAAGATCAGTCGCTTGCAACTTGTCTGGTGGTCGATGTACTCTACGATATATTGGGAGTAAATGTCCTCGGTTGTGTTGTATCCCTTTAGCTGTTCCTTTCCTGAAGGTTTTGATATATCAAACTCCTTCCACACTCCAAAAGAAGCCCCTTTTTGCCCCAATTTCTTCCTAATGTAGGTAAAAAAAAAAGCCATTTTAAAGTGTTAACAATGTTATTTGACCACGTCTGTTGTTCCTCTGTCTCATCAGGCCAGGCTAAAGATGCCGCCCCGCAGCAGGAGGAAGACTTGGAGCCAGAAAGCAAGCGTAGGAAAACTGAACACGGTTAGTTATTGGACTTGAAAATAACCTCTTTTTACCCCTTGATTCTTAATCTTCAATTGGCAGCCTGTCTAAGACCTACTGAACAACCTGGCATCGTTTCTGTACAAAATAAAACGTGGCATTTTATGTCTTACTCGGGTTTCACCTGGAGCGTTACTTACTCTTGTTACAACCCCACAATTTTCTTCTTTTCTTTTGACCTCAAACCTCGCCTCGAAAATGTTTTATAATAATCCAAACCAGACAAGAAACCCAGCCTGAGTGCAGCATGTAATACCCCGTTTTGTGTTTACAGAAAAAGATTATGATTTGCCACACACCTCCAGTGGAGAGGTGGTCGATTCAGCTAAGGCCAGTGTTCTGACTAAAGCCCCGGTGGAAGGGACCAAGACGGACAAGATGGAGGAGAGTCTGACGTGTGTTATTTGCCAGGATCTACTGCATGACTGTGTCAGGTAAGATCTCAAGGACCATCCGCACAGATATTAAAGGTCACCTATTATTCAAAATCCACTTCTCCATGTCTCTTCTACATCAACATGTGTCCCCTCTTCATCATGTCTCTTCTACATCAACATGTGTCCCCTCTTCTTCATCAACATGTGTCCCCTCTGTGTAAAGAGACTCTGAAAGTTTCAGGAACAAAGATTCTCTTTCTTTTCATCCTGATCCATTTAAAAACCTGTCTGAAAATGAGCTGATCAGATTTTGGCCACTTAATGATGTCATAACGATGTTTTGGCTTGTGTAACCATTAGCCAATCACCAACCAAGGTAACCCCCCACCTTATCACCTGAATCTCCTCCTAGAGCACCATTGTGTTCTTTTTAACCAAATCTCTCTCAGAGGGGCGTGGGGAGGGGCTCCTTATTTTCATCTAAAGTAACAGACTGAGAATCAGCACTTTGGAAACAGGGCTGAAACAGAGGGGATTATGGGATGCTGCAATGATCTGTTTGGTGTTTCAGCCAATCAGAGACATGTTTTGTATATATCTGAGACCTATAACATATTGATGAAAAACAGTATAATAGGGGACCTTTAAAGGTTTGGTCTTGTGTGTGTCAACAGTGTGTTTACTCTCCTTTCTCTGTGCTCAGTTTGCAGCCGTGCATGCATGTGTTCTGCGCTGCCTGTTACTCCGGCTGGATGGAGCGCTCCTCTCTCTGCCCCACCTGCCGCTGCCCTGTGGAGAGGATTCGCAAAAACCACATCCTGAACAACCTGGTGGAGGCCTACCTCATCCAGCACCCAGGTGGGAACATAAAAAGACCGTTTGATAACACCTTTTCATCATGACGCAGTATTCAAGTCACAATGACACTACGTTTGATCTAAAAAGGTTGTAGGTAGTAGTGCTGTAGAATTAATAAAATTTGAAATATGAAATTGCAATATTCAGTCAAGGCAAAATATTTAGTAATCATTCTACAGGCTTAAATACAAATCTTAATTTCCTGTAACCAGGTACGCACATAAAAAGACAGTTTGATAGCACATTTTAACCATAATGCTTTTTTTTTTATTGAAGAGATGACACCACTTGTATTGCTTTTATCTAAAAAGGTTGTAGGTAGTGCTGCAGAATTAATTTAAATTTGATCAAAATAGAAATAGTTCAATTTGCATTTTTTGCAATATTCAGTAAAGGTAGAGATATTTAGTTATATCATTCTACAGGCTTAATAACAAATATGTATTTGCTACAGATCCTCTTTTTATATTTATGATAATGTTATTAGTGTTTAATTCCCTCCAATAATATCGCAATTGCAATATCAGTCAATATAATTGCAATTATTACCAAAGTCGTGTAGCCCCAATTGTAAATCAATGTCAAAATAACCTGACAAGCATTTCAAAATTGTCAGCAAGTTTTTTTCCTACCAAAGCTAATGTGTAATGCTTACCTTGTATCATTTCCAAAGTGCTATACAGGACAATAAAAGTCTAATGACACACTGACTTTGTCCCCATTTGTCTTCCCCTCTCTGTCCCACAGAGAAGTGCCGCAGTGAAGAGGACCTGAAGGGCATGGACGGCCGAAACAAGATCACTCAGGACATGCTGCAGCCGAAGGTGGAGCGCTCGTTCTCTGACGAGGAGGGCAGCTCAGATTACCTCTTCGAGCTCTCCGACAACGACAGTGACTCCTCCGACATCAGGTAACATTACATTACATTGCATTTAGCTGACGCTTTTATCCAAAGCGACTTACAATAAGTGCATTCGACCAAGAAGATACAAACTTGAAGAAAACAGAATCAATGGGGAGCTCATTCCACCATTTTGGAGCCAGGATAGCAAACCCACGTGTTTTTGCTGATGGGAACTTGGGTCCCCCTCGCAGTGCGGGTGCAGCGAGCCGTTTGGCTGATGCAGAGCGGAGTGCACGTGCTGGGGTGTATGGTTTAACCATGTCCTGGATGTAGGAAGGGCCAGATCCATTCACAGCATGGTACGCTAGTGCCAGTGTCTTGAAGTGGATTCTAGCAGTTACTGGAAGCCAGTGAAGTGAGCGGAGGAGCGGCGTGGTGTGGGAACATTTAGGAAGGCTGAAGACCAGGTGAGCCGCTGCATTCTGGATGAGCTGCAGAGGTCGGATGGCACATGCAGGTAGACCAGCCAGGAGGGAGTTGCAGTAGTCTAGGCGTGAGATGACGAGAGCCTGGACCAGAAGTCGCGTCGCTTTCTGGGTCAGGAGGGGACGTATCCTCCTGATGTTGTAAAGAGTGTATCTGTTGTGGCAGCGATGTTTGCACTGAAGGACATCTGGCTGTTTACACGCATAGAAAACCAGTGTTAAAGTTTTTGCTTTTTTTTTGTAGACGAATAGCAAACGTTTTTTTTGCACGCTTTGAGAGCAGCCAGGCTGTGGAGGTACAGAGGGACCAGGAGCTATCCTGCCCTTTTGTTTTAAATAGGGCAGATGTGTGTAAATCCTTTAAAAGGGTTAACCCACATAAGGCTCCTGGACCTGATGGCATCCCTGGCCGTGTTCTCAGGGTGTGTGCAGTTCAGCTGGCAGAGGTGTTCACAGACATCTTCAACAGGTCCCTGTTGCAGTCTGTAGTCCCCACAATACTATTGCACTATAAATATAAATAAAGTAAACTGAGACACCCATAAAATGGCTCCTACATACAGTGTAGATATGGTAATGAACATCTTAGGTCACAGGCTCCTCCAACAGTGCAACATGAATATACATAGGACATAAAACAAATCCAACTGATAAAATAGTGCAAGAGAATGTTTTGAGATGTGCAAAATTGTAAATAGTGCAAGAATCAAGATCTCCATGTGATGATTTTCTCTGTGTGTCAGCAGTCAGCCTCTGGTGGAGTGCAGGCAGTGTCCGAGCTTCAGCAGGGACATCTCTCTGGTGTTTGCTTCAAACTACTGGCTCCCTGGACCTCCACCTCTAACTCCTCTACCCAAAGCAGCAGCAGCAGCTGAGGAGGGGGAAGCAAAACCACCAGAGGAGCAGCCTTCAACCTCCTCTGACACCCCCCCCTCAGGTGACTATTAGTGTTAATTATGTTCTGTATGTTTGACTGTGTGTGTGAGGACTAGGGATGGGAATTTGAAAGCAAATTTATATTTGAATATTCGACCCCCAAAAAAACGGTTCAACCACATTTACATATTCTTAAAGGGGACCTATCATGCAAAATGCACTTTTTGATGTCTTTTATACATCAATATGTGTCCCCGGTGTGTCGGGGAACTCACGCAGCGTCAGAAAATAAAACCCTCTCTCTTTTCCTCCGTACCCAAATCTCTAAAAACGGGGCTACAACGGAGCTGATCCAGATTTGCGTCCGATATGACGTAATATCGGAAATGTGGACCCACGGCCCTATCAGAAACGTTGCTATCTGAAACAATGCGCGACTGTTTTGGACGTAATATGGTCGGTGTTTACATTAGCATCGCTAACACTCAGAGCTA